AACACTGCAGCAGGCCTACTGGCCCATGCAAGGCAGGTCCATGTCACCCCCAGGCTTAGACCAATGACCCACCTAGTCAGGTCACATCCACTGAAAGAAGGAGCATGGCATCAAACCTAGTAGTACATGCTAGTCACATCTAACTCACACTCACTCATGTATATATCTTACCTATTTTTACTTTCCTCTTAAAAGGGGGAGTGTTAATGTGACATGACATCATTGAATCTATGGTGTCAAAGTTTTTTTTTTTCTCATTATGCACTGTGTACTGCAGGATTTTTTTTTATACTGTGCACACTGACCACATAGACCCATTCTTTCATATGTAGGCCTGCCAGCTTTCTCTCGCTAGATTTGAAAGCGCTTGAATTTACGCGTACTAGTACATCAATAACCCTGGTGTGTAAGACGTACTAGTATGTCAGAAACACTGAAAGGGTTAATACTGCGCACACCAAGTGTTAAGACCCATTCTCTCACGTTTAGGTAACTCAGGCTTATCTCCTCAATTTTGAAAGAATGAAAAATAAAACGTTGATCTACATTTGGAGCACTACACGAGCAAATGTATATATACATTTGGACAGTTTAAGGGTTAATAATATAATCTCTTGGGCTCATTAAATGTTGTATATTACGTTAATATAGACATTTCCATTAATCCATCAATGATATTTTTTTCAAAACCATATAATAAACACGCTACATAACATTGTTTTTTTTTATTAACACATCGACCGATTCCCACCAAGGCAGGGCGGCCCAAAAAAGAAAAACTTTCATCATTTACTCCATCACTGTCTTGCCCGATGGGTACTTTACAGTTCATAAAACTGCAACATTAACACCCCACCCCTCCTTCAGACTGCAGACACTGTACTTCCCACCTCCAGGACTCAAGTCCTGGAGATGGGAAGTCCCTTCATAAATGTTACTTTGCTCACACTCCAACAGCACATCGAGTATTAACCCTTTCAGGGTCCGTCCCATTGATCTACGGCTTTACGTTCAGGGTCCAAACCGTAGATCTATGCCAAAATTCTAGCGCCGTCAAATTTAGCTCGAGAAGGCTGGTAGGCCTACATCTAAGAGAATGGGTCTGGGTGGTCAGTGTGCACACCATAGAAAAAATCTGGACGCCCACATGGCATTGTGGGAATGCCAGCAAAGTAGCTTTGTTCAGTGCCTGGCGGCAAGGAAGCTCTCACTCCCCACTCACTCTCCGGGGGAATTCTGACTCTCCTCTTCACAACTTACAGTTCAAAGACTGATGGAAGTGGAGCTGAAGACGAATTCTATGGTTTTGAACCATATGGTACCATTGTGCCATATGGTACAATGGTACCATATGGTACAATGGTGTCATGTCATACAATGGTATCATATGGTACAATGGTATATGGTACAATGGTACCATATGGTACAATGTACCATATAGTACATTGTACCATATGGTACAGGGTACAGGGACCCTAATGGAAATAAATCTGTCTGACTTTTTTGGGTTATCCTAGGATCTCCAAACATGTGCTGCTAAGTATGATATTCTATGTAACTTTATTTGTGTATAACTAAATAAACTTACTTATGATGCCACATGCACTTGAGTAAGTTTATTCAGGTGTACAGAAATACAATTGCATAGATTATCATACATAGCAGCATACGTATAAAATCCTAGGATAACCCAAAAAAGTCAGGGTGACTTATTTCTAGAGTTATCCCTGTATCTGTACCATATGGTGTCCTGTACTGTATGGTACCCTGTACCATATGGTACCCTGCACCATATATTATCCTGTACTGCATGGTACCCTTTACCACATAGTACAATGTACCATATAGTACCCTGTAACATATGATACCGTGTACCATATGGTCAATAGGTGTTGGTGCCATGAGACACCAGCCAAGACTGAGTGAGTGGCGACGCAAGACTCCGCAGTTTCCGAGACAAAGTGCTTTGTCATCCACCTCAAGGAACACGTAAAGTTCCTGTACACTTGTAAATATATAATAGAACATTACAAATATACAACATTTTTGCATATTTTTATTACCTGGAGTTTACCTGGAGAGAGTTCCGGGGGTCAACGCCCCCGCGGCCCGGTCTGTGACCAGGCCTCCTGGTGGATCAGAGCCTGATCAACCAGGCTGTTGCTGCTGGCTGCACGCAAACCAACGTACGAGCCACAGCCCGGCTGGTCAGGAACCGACTTTAGGTGCTTGTCCAGTGCCAGCTTGAAGACTGCCAGGGGTCTGTTGGTAATCCCCCTTATGTATGCTGGGAGGCAGTTGAACAGTCTCGGGCCCCTGACACTTATTGTATGGTCTCTTAACATGCTAGTGACACCCCTGCTTTTTATTGGGGGGATGTTGCATCGTCTGCCAAGTCTTTTGCTTTCGTAGTGAGTGATTTTCGTGTGCAAGTTCGGTACTAGTCCCTCTAGGATTTTCCAGGTGTATATAATCATGTAAACAACTACTGTAAACAAAATAATAATGAAAATATTAGTGTGTTTGTGTTGAATACAACAGTACCATATGGTACAATGAACCATATGGCATCATTGTATTGTATGGTACAATGTACCATATGGTACCATTGCATCATATGGTACCATTGCACCATATGGTGCATTGTATCATATGGTACCATTGTACCAAATGGTGCCTTTCTACCATATGGTACCATTGTATCATATGGTACCATTGTATCATGTGCCACTGTGCCATATTGTACTATATGGTGCCACTGTATCATATGATGCCATTGTACCATATGGTACCATTGCATGCTATGGTACCATTGCACCCTATGGCACCATTGCACCCTATGGAACCATTGTACCATATGGTACCATATGGTACTATATGGTACCATTGTACCATATGGTACTATATGGTACCATTGTACCATATTGTACCATTGTATCATATGGTGCCATTGTACCATATGGTACCATTGCACCCTATGGCACCATTGTACCATATGGTACTATATGGTACCATTGTATTCAACACAATAACCGCACTAATATTTTCATCATTTTGTTTACAATAAACTTGTAAACAAGTTTTGTAAGCAATATAATGATAAACAAATTAGTGCAGTTATTGTGTAGAATACAATGAGTGTACACTTATACAATATACATTATACTGGTCTCACAGGCCACAAATGTTATTAGAAAAAGAAAAAAATTAGAAAAGAAAAAAGTAAAAAAAACATAAAATAAAAAAATGGGATTTTGCGGAAGTCACCGATGTTGCCGCCACCCGGTCATTTTGGGTCAACTTCCCGCCGCTGTATCTCGGTAAGTACTGATCAGAAAAAACTTTTTTTTTGTCTTATTACCTTCACAAAAATATACTCTTCAATTCTGTAAGAATTTTTTTTTTTTTTTTTCAAAATTTCTTGGACACTGGAGCACCACTTCAGATTTTGGCCTTGGACCCTGAAGGGGTTAAGGGAAGTGATGTAATGTTTTCCCTCTGCCTGGCTACCACACCTTAGTATATAAACATAAAATGTTTATATGTTATGTAACGTGTTTCTCATATAATTTTGAAGAAAATTTAAGAGATGGATTAATGAAAATATCTATATTAACCCCTTCAGGGTCCAAGGCCCAAATCTGAAGTGGTGCCCCAGTGTCCAAGAATTTTCAAAAAAAATTTTTGTTATTTTTTCTAATGAAATGGTAGAGAATCTTTTTGTGAAGGTAATAAAACAAAAAGTACGAAATTTGATGGAAAATTGACGAAATTATGCTCTCGCGAATTTTGATGTGTCAGCGATATTTACGAATCGGCGATTTTGCCGACTTTGACTCCCATTTTAGGCCAATTACAATACTCCAGTCAACCAAATTCTTAGCTATTTCACTAGTATTACTTCTATTCTATCGATTGAGCACAAGAAATCGCCAAGTCAACTGTTTCAACTACAAAAAAAAGTGATACATTTCCTCTGTTCATTAGTTATGTTTTGAGGCTTTACAAATAAATTCCATTTTGATTTTTTATTCACATAATGAATTTTTATTCACACCAAAAAATAGAAGATTTACTGTTATGCAATACTGTAATAATTGTATAAATATCATCACCATATTTGTGAATGCATATTAAACCCACCAGCTGGCGTGTATTAGACGTGTGAGGTCGTTTGTTTACTCTTGAATATCGGCAAAAATTTAACATTTCTGCTAATTTGAGCTCAGTTTCAAGCCATTTCCAGTGCTAAAACCAATCAAAATCATCTCTATTTCTGTAATATGTCTTCCATTCTATCAAATGAGACCAAGAAATCGCAAATAAAACTATGAAAAACATACAAAAGAAAAACACTGCAAAGTCGCTGTTTTAATCGAAAAATCATGATTTCAGTTTTTTCTCTCATTATACACAGTGTGCTGCAGGATCTGTTTTATGTGGTGCACACATACCACATAGCTGTATTCTCTCATATCTAGGCCCAAATGTACCACTCACAGTTTATCAGAGTGAGCTGAGCTCATGACGTAGATCTACGGTTTGGACCCTAAACGTAAAGCCGTAGATCTACGGGACGGACCCTGAAAGGGTTAATGTAAAATAAGACATTTAATGTGCCCAAGAGTGATTATTATTAGTATTACATAATGTTTTCCCTCCACCCGGCAACCACACCTCCATAGCATATAAACAGCATGTTTATATGCTATGTAACATGTTTCTTATATAATTTTGAAGAAAATATCATAGATGGATTAATGAAAATGTCTGTAATGACATAAAATTAGACATTGAATGTGCCCAAGAGTGATTATTATTACATAATAGAGAGATGTGCTCATGGAGAATGTAAACAAACCAGGTGGCCCATGCCGTATTTGAAAGACCACTTGCCATATAGAAAGTTTTGGTCATAATTTGAGATTGCCTTATTAGTGGAATGTCGTAAGGTGAAACGTCGAAAAGTGGGGCCCTACTGTACTGTACTATAATATTACTGACCTGAGGAATGAGATCACTAGCAACAAGGTCCTGTAACTCTGCAGCCATACGCTCCTGCAGTTTCCTAGCTGCATCTTCTTCAAGTTTGGCCATTTCCTCATCCTGACTGCGTAGTTTTTCTAATAACAGATAAAGAATAAATATACATGTATAAGGCTACTAATAAAATAATTTACACACAGTTATCCATAAGTACACATATTATATATTACAACTGTACTTCTTATTCATTTCATGAACTTGAAATACAATTTAAAAATCTACCTTCCCAATGTTTCTTTACAGTCAAATACATGTGTAGTAGAATACATAACTAAGTGTAATTAGGTCACTGCATGATATAAGGAAGGTACCCCAATATCCCAGAGGCTCAGCCCTGTCTACCTTGATGCATGCAAAAGGAATAGCAAAGTGCAGCATATGTTTCTAATGCAATTATATATCAACATTGAGGATTTGAAGTGAATCAGAAGAGGCATTACAAGTTATTGCATGAAAATAATTCATAATTTCATCAATAAAATTGTAAACTTAACATCAAAACTACTGTATTTTGTGACTTACAAGATGCTCCGATGTATTAGACGCATCCCAGTTTAGAGGGTAATAATCAGAAAAAAGTTTAGAGTGCCTAATACCAAGTAATATTTACTCCACTGAAACCAATGGTAATTTTACATGCAGAAGTAAGATTACATTTGATTTATGGGTAGGTCAAAACATATAATAGGCCTAGTGCTCACCTTAACACCTTATTTCAGCTTGAAATCCTCACCATCTTGACAAATTCATCAAAAGCATTAAATTTACATTGAGTAAAATTTACCAGTACCGGGTATGTTAATTCTAACACAAAATTAATTTGATTTATGGGTTGGTTAAAACACTACAGCCACAAATGCCACTCAACATGTGATGAAAACATCATTTCAGCTACAAGAGGAGCGTTTCTATAGCACCTTTAGTGATCGTCGGCAAAAGCTTGTCTCAAAACCAGAAAAATCACAGTTTTCATCATTCCGACAATCACTTTCAGAGCTGTTCTCTGCATTCACACCACTGGGGTCATCAATATCAGACTCTTAACTGTCACTAATCTCATAAACAAGGTCATCTTCTGTTCCATCTAAAACGTTACTTATACCACATTTTTTAAAGGACGAAACTGAGAGAGCTACAGCTCACCCCACACCCCAAACTTATAGCTCCTGTCACTGACCTTCAGTTTACAGGATGCAGGGTGGCTTTTGGAGACATTTTACTGGAAAAAAAAAAGCATCTAATAAACTGCAAAATACAGTGGACCCTCAGTTAACGCCTTTAATCCATTCCAGAGAGCTAGGCTTTAACCGATTTAGCCTTTAACCGAATTAATTACCACATAAGAAACAATGGAAATCCAATTAATCCGTTCCTACTGTCAGGAGACTTGACAGAATAGTACTTTAATATGATGCTATTATAAACTCTATGGCTTATTTATCTATCACAATTCATCTAATATGACATAATAAACACTATTAATAACATAGAACATGAATAAAATACGTCATAATGTATGTGAGGATAAGTGATGGAAGTGTTGTTGTTGGCCACTGAGAAAAGCCGTACAGGCTTCTGCCACCACCACTATCCACAAACAATATATGAACATAATTTATAAATAAGAAATATTTTTAATTTATAAATAAGAAATATTTACATTTTAATTTATAAATAAATAAGTATATTCAGGTATACACAAATACAGTTACGTACATAGATTATCATACATAGCAGCATATGTGTAACGTACCTAGGATAGCCCAAGTCAGAGTGACTTAAGTATTTCCATTGGGGTCCTTTTATATTCACACTTTTATATTTACACTTACCTTGGAGGAGATGTTAGTTTAATTAGTTTGATGGAGGAGATGCTGGCAGAGGTTTAGAGTGGTGGAAGATACGTAGCAGGCCGGCGTATGTTCAGCGGGCTGATACACATACAACATCATTGGAGAGTTACTTTCGTGTCTTTTTCTATCACTTACTCTCTTAACTTACTTGCTACACTGTTAATTCTACACTTTATCGCTGGCTGGCACTATAGCCTTTATCGATACCTGCTGCTTTAGTAACATACATATCGCTGAATCACTGCAGAAGGCACATTCTCCCCTCTCTCTTCCTCCTCCACTTTGGTACTTTGCTACAAGTTTTTTCTTGAATTTTATTGTTTCTTTCCTTCTTTATCACAGGGCTGGCACTAGAAACTTTCTTTGGGCCCATATTGGCTTACTTAGCAGTTACAAGCACTAAAAACAATGGAAAAATACAAAATACAGTGGACCCTCAACCAACGGCATTAATCCGTTCCAGAGAGCTAGCCGTTAGTCGAATTTGCCGTTAGTCGAATTAATTTTCCCCAAAAGAAATAATGGAAATCCAATTAATCCATTTCAGACAGCCAAAATTACTAACAAAAAATATTTTTTTTAAAGATTAAATATAAATACAAAAAACAATGACAAATAAATATAAAGCACTAATCAAATGGATAAATGAACATTTAACATCACACTTACCTTTACTGACTTATCTTTACTGACTCGAATTGTTGGTGTATGACAGACACGTAGGAGGCAAGAGGCAGACAAGTTTATTATGCTTCAATATGATGCTATCATCATCACTACGGCTTATTTATCTATCACAATTCATCTAATATGACATTATAAACAATATTAATAACATAGAAACATGATATATACTCTAGAATTAGTAAAATATGTCATAATGTTGGTGTATGACAAGACACGTAGGAGGCAAGAGGAAGACAAGTTTATTGTTTGTTTGTTTATTTATTTATTTATTTATTATTATTTGGACATGATACATAGATGTACAAAAGAAATACAGTGGTTGAGTGTACATGCCAAAAGCCCCTTGGATGCAGAGCATTGTGGGCAGGCTTAAAATTAACTTGAGATTAACTAAGGACTGATATATTCAGTGGTAAAAATAAAGTAAACAAATTACAACATGAAGTACAAATGAGTACAGTAGGGCCCCACTTATACAACAGGTTAGGTTCCAGGCTAACGCCATAAAGCGGAAATCGCCGTAAAGTGTAACACCCTTTTTTTCCACTTATAAATGCATACAAACACTAGATAACAAGTTTACACTAACATATATTAAGTTAGCAATAGAACCAGGCATCAAAAAACAATAAAAAAGTACAATACACACATAGTGCACTCATTACTTACCTTAAAGTACAGTGGACCCACAGTTCGTGATGCTATCAGTATCCGATAAATCCGGTAACCGATGCATTATATTGCCAAAAATTTGCCTCGGTTCCCGTTACAAAACCCGGTATGCGATGCGATTCGTACGAGACGTGTCCACATGTGGCCTGAACTTCCCTGTGTGTACCAGTGTTTACAAGCCAGCCAGTGTGCGTGCATCTACGGATACATTCGGTACATTCCATATTATCACTGTTTTTAGTGCTTGTTTCTGCAAAGTAAGTCACCATGGGCCCCAAGAAAGCTTCTAGTGCCAACCTTTCGAGACCAAGGGTGCTAATGACTATTGAAATGAAGAAAGAGATACAGTGGACCCCCGGTTAACGATATTTTTTCACTCCAGAAGTATGTTCAGGTGCCAGTACTGACCGAATTTGTTCCCATAAGGAATATTGTGAAGTAGATTAGTCCATTTCAGACCCCCAAACATACACGTACAAACGCACTTACATAAATACACTTACATAATTGGTCGCATTCGGAGGTGATCGTTATGCGGGGGTACACTGTAATTGCAAAGTACGAAAGTGGAGTGCGTGTGTCGGAGCTGGTCAGGTTGTATAGTAAACCCCAATCAACCATCTCTACTACAGTGAGCAGGAAAACGGCAATCAAGGAAGCTGTTCTTGCAAAAGGTGCAACTGTGATTACGAAACAGCGACCACAAGTGTTAGAAAATGTTGAGAGACTGTTATTGGTGTGGATAAATGAAAAACAGATAGCAGGAGATAGCATCTCTCAAGCGATCATTTGTGAAAAGGCTAGGCAGTTGCATGACGATTTGGTAAAGAAATTGCCTGCAACTAGTGCTGATGTGAGTGAATTTAAGGCCAGCAAAGGTTGGTTTGAAAGATTTAAGAATCGTAGTGGCATACATAGTGCGATTAGGCATGGTGAGGCTGCTAGTTCAGACCACAAAGCGGCTGAAAAATATGTGCATGAATTCAAGGAGTACATAGAGGCTGAAGGATTGAAACCTAAAAAAGTGTTTAATTGTGACAAAACAGGCCTGTTTTGGAAGAAATTGCCAAGCAGGACCTACATTACTCAGGAGGAAAAGCTACCTCAAGTCCTAATGGAGGGGGATTCCCCTTCTAAACAATAGGTTCAACACACTCCCCTCCTCCCATCCCATCAATCATCACCATATCTTCATTAAAGGTAAGTGTCAATTATTCTATTGTTATTGTTATTATTATTTTTTTATTATCACACTGGCCGATTCCCACCAAGGCAGGGTGGCCCGAAAAAGAAAAACTTTCACCATCATTCACTCCATCACTGTCTTGCCAGAAGGGTGCTTTACACTACAGTTTTTAAACTGCAACATTAACACCCCTCCTTCAGAGTGCAGGCACTGTACTTCCCATCTCCAGGACTCAAGTCCGGCCTGCCGGTTTCCCTGAATCCCTTCATAAATGTTACTTTGCTCACACTCCAACAGCACGTCAAGTATTAAAAACCATTTGTCTCCATTCACTCCTATCAAACACGCTCACGCATGCCTGCTGGAAGTCCAAGCCCCTCGCACACAAAACCTCCTTTACCCCCTCCCTCCAACCCTTCTTAGGCCGACCCCTACCCCGCCTTCCTTCCACTACAGACTGATACACTCTTGAAGTCATTCTGTTTCGCTCCATTCTCTCTACATGTCCGAACCACCTCAACAACCCTTCCTCAGCCCTCTGGACAACAGTTTGGTAATCCCGCACCTCCTCCTAACTTCCAAACTACGAATTCTCTGCATTATATTCACACCACACATTGCCCTCAGACACGACATCTCCACTGCCTCCAGCCTTCTCCTCGCTGCAACATTCATCACC